GAGAACAGCCCTCACTCCCTGAGAACAGCCCTCACTCCCCTCACCCTGCTGAGAACAGCCCTCACTCCCCTCACCCTGCTGAGAACAGCCCTCACTCCCAGTCTCAAAAACTCATCCACATGGACTGTTCTCCACTGCAGCCAGAGATCCTTGCAGAAATGCACATTCCACATTCATGCTGAGGCCTCTTACTGAGGGCCATCTGTGGGCCAAGCACTCTGAAAGTGTCTAAAGCACATCTACACTTAGATGTGCCCTCCCTGGCAAAGCTGAGTCATTCTGGAAGAGGGCGGACAATGAACCAAAAACACAATAAATAAGTCAAACATGGAAGGGCATCCATGCCGTGTGACAAAATGGAGAAAGGAGGCACCAGAGGTAAGAGGGCTGGGCTATGCAACCAGAGAGGTAAGTCCAGGCCCCTCTGAGCAAGGCCTGAGCAGACCCCAGGGAAACATTATACATTATTTTGGATTCCTCATCTTTAACTGACCACATGATGAGCTCAAAAAAAAAAAAAAAAAAGGATTTTAAGGATTTTAAATATGTTACTTTTGTCTAACTACTACTTGTATTTTAATTTTTAAAAATTTCCTAATAAACCACAAGTGCCTTTTTAGAAATGATAAATTAAGTGAAGTAGTAAAAAAAAAAAAAAAAAAAAAAAAAAAAAAAAAAACTACTCATGAAAGTGAGCTTCATCTTTTTCTAAAATTTAATTAAGAGTTTTTCATTTCATTGAGTTTTCTTTTATGGTATAAAAAGCAGCTAGGAATACTTGCATTTTTATAGGTACCTATCATGTGTCTATTGTTGGGGGGACTACATCCAACATGAGGAGCAACTGGGCTTGCTAAAAATAGAAATTTTTTTAAAATACAAATTCAGACTGAATTTTCAGATTAAGCCTGTTATAAAACCAAGGGTAGGTGAAGTCATCAAACTGACAAACACAAGAAAACTCCTCCAGAAATGTGAGGTTTTAAAAACTTCTAAGTCCCCATCTAATTGAATGGGGAAGACACATTGTTTGTTTTACCTTCCGGTGGTCTGTTGGATGTTGCCACAACGACGACCCCATTTTTGAACAGATTTTCAAAAAGCTGTTTCAGAATCATGGCATCAGCGATGTCAGTGACCTGTAGACAACAACACATTCGTTTTATTTTAATTTCACTTCTGCTCTAACAAATTTGCTAATGGCTTTTTTTTTTTTAAGATGCAAGTAAATTCCAGGAGGAAAATTCTAATTACCACCATGAAGAAAAGAGTAGATAATTAAAAGCACGAAAGGCCATCGAACAGTCTCTTAGACTCACACCTCCTTTCTACAAATCAACCATCTCTACCCAAATTATCAAATGGTTCTGTGCTGCCTTATTTATCAACTCCGAGTGGAAAGCATAGAAAACCATCCTGAACATTTAGGAAATCCAATTAATTAGAACATGACCAACTCTCTCCTTATACTGCCACCCTCTACACACCCCAACACATGCAAAAAGGTGGGGGACCAGGAGCAACAACACTAACATATACAGGCTATTTGCAGTTCCTGATACCTTTCTGGCAAAGGTCCCCAGAAAGGTGACTTTTAATAGCCATGGGACTTTAGAAATAAGGACAAGTAGCCAGTGAGACATAATCAGCTGCTGTTGAAAATAGAATGATATGACATAGATACTATTGTGCAATTGTTGCACAAAACAATTCAACAGATGGCCCATCACAGAAATAAGCAATTTCATTGTTCTTTTTAAGTGCCTTCTATTACTGTCCATGAATAATCCAAAGGCTCCGCAGTAACTTCCAGCACGCCAGCCTCTGCTAACCTTACAAACACAAATATTCCTGTTAAAAAAATAAAATAAAAATAAATCTGTCCCTCCCAAGTGGTGCCTTAAAACAATGACCTCTAACAAAACCAGAAATGCAGCTAAAACAAGGCACAGTGCAGGCAAAACCACGCTAGGCAACAGAGAACACAGCCACTCATCTCTTCTAAAATTATTTCTTGTTCGAATTCATAATCAAAAAGTCCACTTAATTGCAACTTTTTCTTTAGGAGGTTTTACAGTTCACAAGGAAATCAGCAATCGAGAGAGGGAAACTTTACACATAACCTAAATGCTGGCTGAAGACACACTGCCCACTGCAGCTGTGGAGTGCCAACAGGGTTCTTGGATGTCCTGGTACAAAAGTGCTTTGACCTTCTTTACCTGCACATTTCAAAGAATCTCAGTAAAATTTGCCTTACATGTGCTTACTAATTCATCCCATTCCTATTTTCCCACTGTTAAAGGGTACAGAAACTCCTGGAAATCTTCCTATTTGATCAAGAAACTCCAAATTACCAACCGACCCATTAAAACACAGCCAAACTGAGTTGCACGGGTCTAAATTGCTTTTCTCTTTATGGCCAGGATCTTACTGAGATAGTGAAGGTTACCTTACCACCTGAACAAAACAAAACCATGAGGAGCCGAGAGGGGGTCTTTTTGTCTCAAGCAATGACTTAAAAACATTAACTAGGAGAAAATAATAGAAAATGCCTTCTATTAAAAAGGCTCCCAGAACCTCAAGCATTCACTGAAGAGAAAAGAGAAGCGGTGCTGGTGGCGTTTAGTTGGAGTTCGGGACCACGGACAAATTTTGCTTCCACAAAAACATTCATAGAGAAGCCCCTTTCAAATGCTTAAACACCAGTGGCATTTCTGATGAGGGGACAGAACAAGCTTGCAAAACTCAGTAGCAACTGCACTTTTAAATTAGATTTTAAAGCCAGTCCTAGCCTCTCTATACACTTCCTTTAAAAAGAAAATCAATGAAATGTTACCGGATATTTAAAAATGAAGGCAGTTCTTTGACATAACAGTTTTGGGAATGAAAATTGAAAAATAGCTTTCGTGCCCCGAGGTTCAGAGAGGAATATTCAGCTGATATGCTGCAAAAGCTTAACCCAGAAATGGATGGGAACAAACAGTCAAGGCTTGTGGTCGAGCTCCACTTGGCTGTTTTTGCATTATGGGATGTTTTTGTGCTAGCTGAGAAAATTAACTTGGAGGCACTATGACTAATTAATAAAGCAGGAGTCACTCAGTGCAGCTGGATGTCAATGTATACTCTTTGATCTTGGCCCCGCACTTGTCAGGGTTTGCTGGGGAACAGTAATTTTACAGTATAAGCGAACAGAAGACAATTGGCCCCACATTCTTGGAGAGCTGGGGTGTTCGGCACCCAGCATTTCATTACCACCAGGAACAAAAGACAAGGCTGCAGATTACCAATAAGGGTAGTCTGCGAGCAGACAGTGGAGACATTCCATTAGCATTAAAGAGAAGAGATCTTTATGACCTAGAGTTGCCTTCCATCGTGACTCACTTAAATAAAAAAAGAAAAAAAAAGTAATTCATTTACATGTGTAAGTGCTGGAGTCTCAGCCACCCACTGATTGGTACAGTGCCATGGAATGAGTGACAAACATAAGCATGCATTATCAGTAATTAGGATTAGCACAAAAACAAGCACCTACATTTTATTAGCAGTTTTTAATAGCACTCCTGCTTTATAAAAATGGCTAACAGTATCTGTTGAGTGAGTGGTATGGATGGTTTATGGAGGAGATTTTACACAGCATGCTACTTATCAACATGCTTTTTAAATACTATGTTAGTAAGACACGTCTTCCCTCAGAATTCTGTTTTCAGAATCACAAGTGGTTTAGCAGGTAACACAAATACTCAAAGAAGATACAATAAAGACTGGAAAGAAAATGTTAAGAATGAGGTATTCTTTTATTTCAGCCACTAAAACACATTTAAGAAAAAAAGAAAAACAAAACCCTATACAGACACATCGATCGACCAAAAGAAGTGTATCTGAGATGCCATGCTCCTTAAAGATGACAAAAAAAAAAAAAAAAAAAAATGTGCCCTGCAAAATGTGAGCTAAACGCTTCCAAGGTAGTACCTTCAAAACGCCTTCAACTCAAGAGCACAGACAGAAAGCGAATGTCCTTGCTTGTAAGCAGCAATAATCCCCATTCATCTCCCTATAGAAAAGCATTATGTTCATTACCACCACCCTAGAGGCAATAATAAATTGCAGAAACATCAATAATACCATGATCCAGTTTTAAGTGAACTGGTATTTGCAGACATACTGTCACTAAGAACGAAGCACCTACATGAACTAGTTTTTTGGAGCCCATTCCCTATGCTGGGATACCTTGCTCAGCCTTGATGCAGCAGGGAGGGGCTTGGTCCTGCCTCCACTGGATAAGCCAGACTTTGTTGACTCCCTAAGGAAGGACTTACCCCCCCAACCCCCTGAATGGATAGGGGATAGGATGGGGGAAAGAAACGGGGGAGAAGGGGAGGCAGGGGGAACTGGGGTTGGTCTGTAAAATTAAAAATAATTTTTTAAGAAAAAAAATGAATGAAGCAGCTAAAGACTCTTTTCTGTTTGACCCAGCAAGTATTATACCAGGCTTAAAGATGGCTTCTATTTCTAATCAAGCCAGCAAGTGTTATACCAGGCTTACAAATGGCTTCTGGGTTTTGAGGTTCTGTTTAAAAACTCCCAAACCCCACTTTACTCTACAGCTGGAAGCTAACCACATAATACAAGACATTGTGCACTAAGGAAAATACATGCATAGCTGCTATGAGTCAGAGCCAGGATGCTGGATTTAAAGCACAGCTGAGTTACATATCCTCTCGGACTTTCCAATATAATGAAAGTAGCAGCAATACCTAGTTGTAAAACTTTAATAAGACATATGTTAAATTCTCAAGAAATGTTAACTAGGGTTATTATGTATGTATAGTATACAAGTTCTTATAATTCCATATTAACAATGCATTGTTGTATAGAATCTTGGTTGTAAATGGAAGGATAGATATCACAGTACAGGGTTTAAGAACAAAGGCATTAAAATGTACAGTTCAATAAAAGCAAGTTTAAAAAAGAAAAAAGGCATAGGGTTAGCTGTCAAGAGCAATTCTTGCTCTTCCAGAGGACCCTACTTAGTTCCCAGAACTCAGGTCATTCAGCTCATAGCTGCCTACAACAACAGCTCCAGGGGATTCCTGCTTTCTTCTGGAGGTGAAGAACACTCATACTTTTGTGCACACATGTACAAAATTAAAATAGTGTTCTGAAATATTAGCTTAAGATATGTTACATTTGTTTATGCTGTGGAATATTTGTTTAATGGTGCAAAGATGTGTTGCATTCTTTTATGTTGCATTTGCTTAACTCTGTAAAGCTGTGTTACTTTGCCTGTCTAAAACATCTGATTGGTCTAATAAAGAGCTGAACAGCCAATAGTGAGGCAGGAGAAACTGGTGGGGCTGCCAGGCAGAGAGAATAAAAAGGAGAAGAGATAGGTGAGAAGAGAAAGTGGGGGGCTAGAAAAGAAGAAGGGGCCAGCCACCCAGCTATGGAGTAAGAAGGAAAGAAAGGTACATAGAATAGAGAAAGTTAAAAGCCCCAAGACAGGATAATTTAAGAAAAGCTGGCTAAAAATAAGCCAAGCTAAAGCCAGGCATTCAAAAGTAAGAATAAATCTCTACGTATTTATTTGGAAGCTGGGTGGCAGGGCCCCAAAGGCAAAGAGTAAAAAAGAAAAAAAAATACAAAATATTTTGTTTATAGAAAAGCAAAACATTGGGGCCAGACATGATGGAGCACACCTTTAATCCCAACAGAGAGAAATGGATGTTATGAGTTTGAGGCCAGCCTGGTCTACAAAGTGAGTTCCAAGACAGCCAGGGCTACAAAGAGAGGCCTTGAAGCAAAGCAAACCAAAACCAAACAAACACACAGGCACGCAGAAAGCCTGTAGCCAACAGGAAACAGTAGCCAACATCTTAGAGCATACATAAGGAGCTGAGATGCAGCTCGCTGGTAAATGACTCATCCAGTGTGCAAGAGGCCATAGGTCCATCTCTAGCTCCAAAATGAATGAAAAAGACAAAGAGTCTACATAATAGATGTAATGGAACCGTGCAACAGAGAAATAAGCAACACCTCAAACAGTTCATGAAAGACCAACTTAGTAAGAAAGCAAAGAAGAAAATGCATATTACTGCACAAATAATATAATTTAAATTATAAGAGCATTTTCATCTATTAACAATTAAAAATGATCAGGGTGTTGACAGGAGAAACATGGCTGAGGTTTCAGTCTTCGGGTTCTAAGATGCTGACTTTGCTGGAGAGGCAAAGCTATTAAACACAAAAGGAGTAATCTTTATGCGGGAATGCTGTAGGCAAAGCTTAACAAAAACCATCCTGGTAAGAGTTTGGAAGACCAGAATGCCAAAATATGGACAGTAAAGACAGCTCATGAGGTTTCAGACAAAAAGAACTCTATCTGGAAATCGGCTAGAGGCCATTTGTGTTATACCCTGACAAAGAATGTGGTATGATCTGCTCATGTCCTGGGAGTTTTAAGTGAGGCTGAAGTCAAAAGCAAAGGGCTTTTCATTGTTCGGGCGGTGGGGAAATTCAACATAACACAGCATTCACTGTGCCATGAATGTTGCTTGATGTCAGGGTTATAATGAGAGCAAAGAACAGAGCAGGCAGATTAGAAAAGAAGAATTAAGTTCAGCTAGGCGAAGGAGGAGGAGGAGGAGGAGGAGGTGGAGGAGGAGGAAGAGGAGGAGGAGGAGGAAGAAGAAGAAGAAGAAGAAGAAGAAGAAGAAGAAGAAGAAGAAGAAGAAGAAGAAGAAGAAGAGCATTTAAAGCTGTGGACAGGGGCCTGGAGAGATGGGTGAGCAGCTAAAAGCACTTGCTGCTCTTGCAGAGGACCAGGTTTGGTTTCCACCACCCATATGTCAGCTCACAGCCATCTGAACTGCAGTTCAGGGGATATGGTGTTCTCTGAAAGCACTAGGCACACCTGCAGTGGACTTAAATGCATAAGGGCAAACACTCACACAGTTAAAATAAAAATAAATGTAAAAAAAAAAAAAATGAAGGCTAGAGAGATGGCTCAGTACTTGCGCATTGGCTGCTCTTCCAGAGAACATGAGCTCGATTCCTAGCACACACATGGCAGCTTGCAGTGATCTTTCACTCCAGTCCCAGGGATCTGACACCCTCTTCTGCCTCTGAGGGCACAAGCATGCATATGGTACATGCAGGCAAAATACCTAAAATGTTCTACCAACTGGGGACAAAGTATTCAAATATCTGAGCCTATGGAGAAATTCTCATTCAAACCACCCACTGAGTGAGAGAGGCTCTTAGAGGATGTTCCTCACTGGAGGAAGTTATCCTTAGTGGGCTTTGAGGATTAAAGCCCTAGGTTGTGTCAACATGTAAGCTCTCAGCTACTGCTCCAACACCATGTCTGTTGCTGCCATGCTCCTCACCATGGTGATCATGGGTTAATCCTCTCAAACTGTAATCAAGGCCCTGCTCATGGTCTCTCTTCACAGCAACGGAAAAGTAACTAAGACACTCAACATGTACAAGGAAACACTCTTTGCTGCTTATGTCTCTGATAAGCTGGGTCTGTTTAAGCATTAGCAATGTAGACATTTGTTCTTGATTCCTTCTCCCCATTAGTCAGCCTTCTCAAATATGAACTTCATGGAGAATACTCAACCAGGCTCCTTAGGAGTTCATTATTAGTAGAACGTTATGGTCTGGGGGAACCCTAGGACATACACTTTCATGGGATCCTCCCTTCGTCAATCAAAACAACTGAAATCTATCTGTGTTGATATAAAAACAAATAGAGGGCTGGAGAGATGGCTCAGTAGTTGGGAGCACTGACTGCTCTTCAAGAGCAATCAGTTTGATTCTCAGCACCCACATGGCAGCTCCCATCTGTCTATAACTTCAGTTCCAGGTGATATGATACCCCCTTTGGGCCTCTGTGGGCAATGCACACACATGGTGCATAGACATACAAGCAGACAAACTGCTCATACACCAAAAAATATAAAGAAATATATAAGATTAAGATTTAGGGGGCTGAAGAGATGGCTCAGTGGTTAAGAGTGCTCAACTTTATTGCAGAGGGCCCAAGTTCATTTCTCATCACTCATATTGAGCCACTCACAACTGCCTGTAACTCCAGTTTCAGAGGATCTGGCACCCTCTGGCCTTGGTGACCATCTGCATACACATGTGCACATAAACTCATGTAGGCACACTATTTTACAATTGAATAATACCTGGTATAGAACAAGGGAAACACATGACATTTACTGTAACTTATAAGTCAGCAAACTCCTCTTACAAAAAGTATTTCAGGCTTTCCATGCCACATAGACTCTGTTTGTCCTTCCTTCCTTCCTTCCTTCCTTCCTTCCTTCCTTCCTTCCTTCCTTCCTTCCTTTTCTTTTTTCTTCTTCCTCCTCCACCTCCTCCTCCTCCTTCTTGCTACCACTTAAAACATGAACCCAGGGCTGGTAGGATGGCTGAGTGGCTAAGAGCTTTTGTTGATCTTGCAAAGGACTCAGTTCCCAGCACTACAACCACCTAGAACTACAACTCCAGGTGCTCTGTCGCCCTCTTCTGGCCCCCAGGAGCACCCATCTGCACATGCACACAGATGCATACAGACACACACTTAAAGAAGAATGAATAGTAAAACAGATCCTAAAGCACTGCAACACAAAAATCTTTTCTCAGGGGCCACACAGAAGCAGGAGCCAATTTATCCTGAATAGGCCATGCCTTGTGAAACTCTAAATAAGTAAAAGTGAAGTAGTAACAGAAATCAATTCATAAAACAAGTAGAAATCAATTCATAAAACAATGAAAATACCAGGAGCAAAAAACCATCCACACTTCACAATATGCTATCTGTAGTTATGAAAAACTTCCCCCTTGGGGCTGGAGAGACAGCTCGGAGGTTCAGAGTGACTAGTGCTCTTGCGGAACACTGAGTCCCATTCCCTGAACCCAAGTCAGGCAGCACACAGCCACCTGTAAATACAATTCCAGGGGACCCAGTGCCTCTGGTCTTGCTGAGCATCCATCCTCACATATACAACCCCATTCGTGCACACACACAATTTAAAATAATAAAAAAATCTAAATCTAACAAGAAAGAAAACTTTACCTGAAATTCGTCAAAACACAGGAGAGAAGCTTCTTGGCTGATCTCCTCGGCTATGGGAGCTATTGGGTCATATGACTTAGTCATGAACCCTGCCTTCCTTTTTGGCAAGCTCTGTTTAAGGCGATGTATTCCTTAGATACATGAAATGAAACAGACAAAATAGTATATTAATAGAACATTTTAAGGAAGTAGAACATATTTTTAATCTCTGAAACTTAACTTGGACATAAGAACTAAATTTAAACTCCATGTGCAATAGTGTTTAATCACAATTTGGTTACTGAAAGGCATTGCATATTCTCTACTTCAAAACAAGTTACTCAAAAATTATAGACTTAGAACTGTAAGGGCAATTCAAGATCATTCTGTCTCATGGCTCAATTACTTTATGGATGACAGTGATAGGCAGACACATCAGTAGACTGGAATTGGTCCTGGGTTTAAGTGATGAGTGTAGAGTCAGGAAATCCGCCTGTGAAGGATGTATCTTGTCTAGCATATCTAATGAGAACGTTTTCTTGTCTCCAACCCAAAACATTCAACCCATCCCTGCTTATTCACTGTATTTACACAAAACACTGAATGTACTGGGGGAAAAACGATGTTCCTACTCTAGGGAGTGTCCTTCCTGAAATTTAAACAAAAGAACATTTTGGTGCACGTGACTCGGCGGGTTTTCCTGGCTTTTGCTCCTGTGTGTGGCAGTCTGAGATGTGCCAGGACCCTGTAACCTTCAACTTGGTCACTTTTCCGACTAAGGATCTCTGGATTCTTCCATTCACTGCTGCCATGTCTGGTAAGCCCGCCCCTTCCTTTCTACCTCTGCCCATGCTTCCATGAGTCAAGACTCGTATGAGACTGTGACTGTGGTCTGTTGCCTTTTTGTCCTGGTTGAAAATTCCAGTACTGGGTGACTACATGTCGGTTTCTGGGAGCCCTAGCCCGATTTGTGCTCAACCGACCACAAAATCAGTCAGTTTTTGCATCCGATCCTCCCTCAGTCTCAGGGACGCTGGAGATTATGGGCTTTGTATCTTCTCTACCTCTCTGGGCCCCCTATATCAAACCATGTGCCCACTTATTGGCATCCTACATTCTACCAGTGATCCATAGTTGGGAGTGCGGCCTCTGCTCATTTTCACTTGTCTTTTTCCCTCCTCTAGCCCTTCATGTCCCCTCCACTTTGTCTCCCTCTTCGTCTCTCCTCTCACTCTCCCCCCACTTTAATAAACCCCATGGTTAATGAATCTCTTGATTCATGTTCCATCATGACTGTAATTTAAGCAAAAGAACAACAGGGAGGTACAGATGATAGGCAAACCATGCAAAAAATGAATAATCTATGGACACAAAGAGATAGGCAAGATGGAGAAACCTGGTGTGGTAGCACACACCTTTAATCTCAGCACTCGGGAGGCAGAGGCAGGCAGAACTCCGAGTTCCAGGACAGGCTCCAAAGCTACAGAGAAACCCGGTCTTGAAAGACAACAACAACAATCCTGTTTTCCATATACCACAAAGCAAATGATACCAAAGAAATTCTTACTTCAAGCAAAAGCCTAATTTTTTCCCCAGCACATATGGTCAATCATCGAAAAGGACAATTATTTTGTAGCTAGAACTATTTTGTAGAAAAACCACTGGATGGCTGCTTGGGGTCACTAACTTACTTCTGTGCACATCTAGCATGAAGCCATGGAAATGGACCCGTTTTTTCCTCTTCATTTCCACATAGGTATAAAACATATCCATCACCATTGTTTTCCCTGTACCTGAAAAATAAAAATAAAAAATTTAAGAATACCATTAAATGGCATGTGCTGATTACACTAATGACTGTTCATTAGCTTTGAGATAATGAGACTGTGAGCTTCACTGGGAAGCTAGAGGCTGCTGCTCCACTAGGTCGGGGAAGGTACTTATGTTTCCTCTGAACCGGCTTTAAAAGATTGATGGTTCCTGTTTCCTCATGATCCTGCTTTTAGTCACCATGGAGAGGTATGCTCATAACCTGGCATGGTTTCTAGGCTGTTCTTTTGTCTTTTCTTCTAAAAGACACCAAAATAAATTAATTTACTATCTGTTAGGAACTATGGAAAAATCAGAAATTAAAGGTAAGAATATTGAGAGAAGGCGGCTGGCTGGCAGGCTGGCTCAGCAGGTGAAACACTGGCCATGCAAGCCTGCTGACTGGCATGTAGTCTCACCCTCCCACCCCACCCCACCCCTGCATACACATATACTATAGGCACACACGATAATAATAGACACAAATAATTTTTTAAGGAGGTGAAAAGTTAAGCAATAAATGCAGAGGAAAATGGTCAACTACAATACTTTGTCCTGTTTAAAGCTGAGAGCATGTTTTTCAAAACAAGCCCTACTTCAGAAACTCTGCTAACAGATTTTTAGAATTACATTATCTAGTTTTCAACACTTGAAAACGTTACTCACTAGAATTGCACTTGCAGCTTAATGTCAGTCACCTGAGCACAGGCAAGCACAAAAAGTTACTCTCTGGCAGAAAACCTAGCACCCAGGAACCTAGCACCCCGGGACCATAGCGGTACCCATGCTTTGTCCATACCGCAGCCCCAGCAGCCATCAGCAAGCCAAATCTGCACTTAAGGGTCCTGTCACCAATCCCCCCACCTCTCTGTCTCTGTCTCTGTCTCTGTCTCTGTCTCTGTCTCTATCTCTGTCACTCTGTCTCTCTGTCTCTCTGTCTCTCTCTCTGTGTCTCTCTCTGTCTCTCTCTCTCTCTCTCACACACACACACACACACACACACACATCAAATCAGAAGATGCAATTACTAAAATTAGAAGGCAGCTTAGCAAATAGGAAGACACAGACTTCATCTTTGGGCTTTTCTCCACTCTGGGAGGCATTAAGCCCATGATCTTTCTTTTTTAAAAAATGTTATGTGTGTGGTTGTTTTGCTTGCATGTGTCTGTAAGCCACATGCATGCAGTTCCCTTGGAGGTTAAAAGAGGGCATCAAATTTCTCCTGTAACTAGAGTCACTGATGATTGTGAGCCACCTGGTGGATGCTGGGAACTGAACCCAGGTCCTTTGCTAGAGCAACAAGTACTCTTAACCCCTGAGCCACCTCTCCAGCCCCCAAGCCCATGCCATCTCAATGCCAGGTCTTTTTTGTATGTGGAAATGCAATTCCCAGTCAGACTTTTCATGAAAAGGCTCATTTAAATTGAAAAGTGACTGCAAAATCTTTAGTACGGTACTTCTGGCTAGAACAAGCTACAGCAGATTCTCAATCATTACATTTACCAAAAAAAGTAAAGCAGTAAACTTTTAAATTCTACTCATCTAACATTGACCCAGCAAAGCTCTTGAATTACCCCAACCAAAAATGTGAAGAACATATACTTGAACTTGATATTTGTGTGAACTCTCTGTCAAATGGTCTTAAAATGGAGCAAGGCCATGCACGTGAGCTGGAAGCTAGCCCGAGTTACATGACTCAAAACACAACAAAACAAACAAACAAAAAAACCGAAAAGAAAATATTAGGTTACATAAATTTTAACCATGTAACTTTCAAGATCTTACTTAAATATGCTAAGTATCCTAATTCACTTAATTGATAGATTTGCTGTATGTACACATGATAAGATGCTACTGACTGCATCATGCAGGTACTCGGGATACAACAGGAACAGTACTAAAAACCCTGGCATCAGTATGAGTTCCTCATCGTGCAAGGCCACCATGGATTACAGCAAGACACTGCCTCAAGAAGATGTAAAACAAATTGCTAAAGTGAGTTATAGCCAATAAGAGCACACATGTTATTCTGAGGTAGATGAGAAAAATAGAAAATTACTAGTACATGGCCGTACTTAACACCGTGGTAAGCTTAGTGACATGTGCTTCAAGAGCATGTAGGAAGACTGTAATAGAAGAAAAATGTTTTACATAATCACAAGATGGAATGAATAAAATATAAATACCAAAGATACAAAAAATACTAATCATATGAATAATGTGAATATACAAAATGGTCTTTAGAAACTAAGAACAGGTCCCCCTCCCACCCCACCCTCCTCCCTCACTATGGAAGGATATAACAAAATCCCCTAAGTTGTTCTCTGACCTCTACATACACATGTGGCATATGCACATGTACATACAAACTAAAACAGATTATTAAGTAATAAGGTAATTTTTACATTAAAAACAACAACAAAGAATGAGATGCGTATAGTAACACAGGCCTGTAATCCTAGCCCTTAAGAGGTTGAGGCAGAAGGATTAGGAGTTCAAGGCCAGTTTAGGCTACATAAAGAGTTAGAGGCCAGCCTGAGCTATATGAAATCCCATCTTAGAACAAGAGCAACGAAAGGCAGGGTGGTGTGGTAGCTAACAAAGACCCAGGGGAAACAGAATACAAACGCGAGATGGTAGGTGTCAGCCCTAAGTACTGATCAAACCAACTGGACCACATAATCCAGTGAAAAGGCTGAGATAAATGAACAAAAACTACTACAGACTCTCTTCATGATACCCAAACACACATGATAAAAGTAAAAACTGAGGGCTTTAGAGATGGCCCAGAGGTAAAGAGCACTGGCTGTTTTCCAGAGGACCCTGGTTCAGTTCTCAGCATCACATGGTGGTTCACCACCATCTGTTCCAAGGGCCCTGACACCCTCTTTGGTCTTCTTAGGGATGGTATTCGAGTGGTGCACTAACATACATGCAGGTGGGACACCCAAACACGTAAAGTTAATTAACTAATTAATTAAATCTCAAAAAAGGTAAAACTGAGACCTGTCCCACAAGTACTCATCCTAAGAAAGCTACAGTAATCATATGAATATCAGACAAACTGGACAAGTAGTCAGGAATATTGCTAAAGATAAAGAATGATAGGCCATAATAAGATAATTGAGTCATCAAAAAAGGTAGACTGGCAGGAGTCCCTGTGGCCCACATCTGGAATCCCCATCCACAGGAGGCTAGAGCTGTGAGTCTGAGTCCAGTCTATATCAAAGGAAGAAAAGACAGAAGAATAACAATACATATATGCCTATGTGTATTAAATGAAACTAAAGGGGAAATAATCTAATCCACAATAAATGTAGGAGTTGTCAACATTGCTTTCTTGGAAAAAGACAAAATAAAAAGAAAAGCAATGAGAATACAGATTTCCATAACATTTTACAAAACTGAAGTGCAGAACATTACGCACAGGAACAAGTGGTTAGTGTTTTCACATCACCTGAAATAGTCTGTAGCAGGCTTTTGTGGAGCACCAGGCCCCAAATCATGGCAGGGACGGAGACTTATTAGTAATTATGAATGCTGGGCCTTAACTTAGACTTGGATCTAGCTTGCTTTTCTTTATTTAACTTAACACATTTCTATTAATCTATATGCTTCCCTGCCCTGCTCATTTACCTCATCTGTGTACCTCATCCTGCTTCCCTTCTTCCTCCTGTCTGTCTGTCAGGCCCCTGGCTGGCTGGCCAACTCCCCTTTTCTCTCTGCCCACCAGCCCTGCCTATTTTCCTTCTGTTTAGCTGTTGGTCATTCAGCTTTTTATTAGACCAATCGGGTGCCTTAGGCAAGCTAGGTCAAACAGCAACACATCTTTACATGGTTAAACAAATATTCTATTCCATGACATTCAACCCTAAATCATAGTTGTTCTTCTGAAATATGAAAGGAAAGGAATTGAGTCAGACAAGCCATTTTTGGGGACTACAATAAAATCAACTAGGAATCCATCAGATATTTAGAAATTTATCAGCATGTAGGTAAGAAACCCTTGAAGCCCCACACAACCTCCCACGGCAGCCTGAGCTCTTTCTAGAGACCTCCACTTAGGTAAAGCAGGATCCTTGACTTTCCACAGAAAGGGCTTTCAGGATGAGCCAGGATGAAGCAGAACTGCATCTTACTAAGACATTATAAACACAAGGATTAAAAGAAAGAGAGAGGTGCTCTAGCACTCCAGGAGACAGGCCTGAGAGCACGGGACAGGCTCCCCAGAGGAGAGTTGTATTTCACTGTCTTTATAACAGCCATGTAAAAGCCTTGTTGGAGTTTGGAGTTGTCTTTAAAGGTACCTATGGACCTTAAATTAGATCACAGAGTCAACAGGACTACAGCAGACAAAGCAACACTTCAGATCTCAGGAACTGCAGAGGAAGTTAACTGTAAACTAAAATTAATAGGAGAAAATACGCAGCCAGGGGTAGGCCCACACTTAAGGATATGTCTGTCCAGGCCTTAAAATGCTACCTTAGGGGCTGGAAAGATGGCTCAGAGGTTAAGAGCTCTGACTGCTCTTCCAGAGGTCAGCAACCACATGGTGGCTCTCAACCATCCATTATGAGATCTGGTGCCCTCGTCTGGTGTGCAGATATACATGGAAGCAGAATGTTGTATACATAATAAATAAATAAAACCTTTAAAAAATGCTACCTTAGCATTCTTATATAAAGTGTCTTTATATTGCAAGGAATGTCTTTATGCAGGCAGTCTGCATAGCAAGTGTTAATTGTGTTGGAACTCTTGATCCTCGACTGGCAGAGGCCTCGGTCAGACTCCAGGGTGAAGGGTTCCTCTCCCTTCCCACCCCCTCATTACTTTCTGTCTTTCTGTCCTGCTTCAAACAAAATGAAAAGTCAAAGACATATGAACATGTGATGAGGACTGCCAAAGCAACTCTTGGAGGTAGTTTGATAACTTCAAAGGCTTATATTAAAAAGCAACATTTTAAAATCTATAGGAACTTAGCCTA